ATGTTGATGAAGAACAGAGGAACGATCCAAATGAATGAATAACAGATGGTGTTGATGAAGAACGAATGAAAGATTCAGAATGACTTAATCTAAATGTGTTTTACATATATAAAAATGACTGACTGAGAATGATTCCCCCATTCTCAACCTTTTATTTTTTCTCGATATATATATATATATATATATATATATATATATATATATATATATATATATATATATATATATATATATATATATATATAGGCTTAGGTTATTCTATTCAAAGTAATTATTGTGTTATTGTATGCATAAATGTGGGCCAATCAAATTTACTTATTTTAAGAAAGTGATTAATATATATTATTGAATTAAATATAATTGAAAAATATCATCTTAATTAATTACAAGGGTAATTTAGTCAGTTAATATAGATTTAATAAAGGAAATTTGCATATTTTAAGGGATCATAGATTCTATTTATTTTAAAAATCCGATTTTACGAATTATAAGGTTTTTAATTCGGAAATTCCGGCAGAATATGTTTGAGTATGTTCAAAAATAAAAATATTCTTGAACCATAAAATAATAAAAATATTCTTGAACATATTTCTTGATCATGACTTTAAAAATTTCTTGTAGAATAACAAAATTCTCGAACCATCAATTGAAGAATTAAAACAAAAAATTACATTAATTCTTATATAATACATGTAACAATTGCTAAGAATTACATTTATTGTAAAAGAATAAAACTAAAAAACTTTCAAATCGGAAAAAAAAACATCAAAAATCTAACAAATACACTAATTCATTCTAAAAGAATAATGTTGCTGAGAAACACTTTCAATTTTGTTGTCCGTTCTTCAAGCATCAACTTCTTCAAGCATCAACTTCCAATTGTAGTTTAGAATCCAATAACACATTAGCAAATGATAAATAAAAAACTATATTCCTTTTGGAAAAATATGCGGACTTGTTAACTGCACCAAAACCAATAACCAAAAATTGTAGAACATGTATAATCAATGAGAAAATATCCATACTCCATTCCAACAAAATTAGAATTCGTGTTTCCATTCCGATAGAATTTGAATTCGTGATTCCATTCCGATAGAATTGGAATTGAATAAATTAACTTGAATGCTTTCTTTTGTAGAGTTGAAGAGCGCACCACTTCCAAATCCACTAGAACACCGTGAAAATCAATGCCTGAATTAGCTTTTGACCTTTTAGTAACTCCTGTCTTTGTCCACACATTCATCCAACAAGTTACAAAAGGGCAATTTCCTATGAATTTGATAATCCTTTTTATTTTGCAAGATTTACACCAGTGGATGTTTTATTCAAAGCTAATGTCCAACCAAAACAGTTCGGTGTCAAATTGTTCCATTCACAAGTATTGGTCCACCTACACAATGGATGTCTTGAGAAATTTCATTTTGTCTCATTCGACCAGTGAATATGGTCCACCTAAACAATGAAATTGCAGAGAAATATCAAGTGAATCATAGATTGAATAAATATCAATAAATCACAATGCTTTGAAAATCAAAATTAAAGAGTTGACCTCTCGATGCTTAGAAAATCAGAATGCAAAAGCAAAGGGTTGAAGCAGAGTTGAGAACAGTAGGGTTGAATAAACCATCACACACATACAGCAAATCGAACCCTAAGGTGCAATAGAATCGAAGTAAACTCGTTAAAAAAAATCGAACTGATGGAAGATTATGGTTCAAAAATCGAACCTTTGATAGAAATCGAAGATCTTACCTGTGATGGAATCGCCGACTGGAGTGGAGTCGTCGGTTGTGTATACGCCGGAGATGAAAGCCTTGCGGTAGATGGGTGTCGTCGCGTGGATGCCGGCGGGATAGCCGGAGGTGAGCAGTCGACTAAGGGTCGTCTCGTGTGGCCGGAGGTAAGCAGCGTGGAGGAAACGCCAGTGGTGAGCAGCGGAAGTGACCAGCACCGATTGACAGTCTTCTGGTGTAGCCCGAGACGCCTACGTTTGGCCGGAGACGAAATCGTTTGGACTTTGGAGGATTCACGATGTAGGCGGAATCCATCTTTGCCCGATCAAAATGAACACGGGTTTAAAAGCCCTAATCTTTTAAGTGGATCCACTGAAAGCAAAAACACCCTTATTTATTTAGGTTATAAATCAATACCATGATTATAGGGATTATTTTTGGAAGTTACTAAACAAATTACTAAATTACCCATATTTATTTATTTAATTATTTAATTTTTTATTTAATTTTGATGGGCCCACATTGATACATACAATAACACAATACTTACTTTAAACATTTGAACCCTCTCTCTCTCTCTCGCTCTCTCTCTCGCTCTCCTCTCTCGCTCTCTCTCTCCTCTCTCTATATCTTATATATATATAATATATATATATATTATATATATATATTATATATATATAATATATATATATTATATTATATATTATATTATATATATATATATATCTTTTCTCTTTTCTGTTTTGCTTTTATCATCTTCACAAAAGCTTGAAAAAAACTTACACCAAAAAAGAAGCTTGAAAAAAAATTAATGAAGATCATGAGAGACGTAACAAAGGAAAGAGCTATAATCCATCCCACGTATCTAATCACTAACCCCACCCCTAGCTCATTTTAAAGATTAAAAGAGACATAGAATACAGGGAAACGAATTTGATTTTTCAAACTATCATGGTTGAATTTTTCGTTAAATATTCACGATTCTCGTGACTCCTTTATTTCGTGAATCACCAAACAATTCATTTTGAAGGTTGGAAGAGATTGGAATTTTAGGTAAGAGAGTGGATTCTTTATATTCTTTTTATCATCCCATGGTGGTGGGAGTGAAGTCGAAGGGGGAGGGAGAGCAAAATTCAGTGTCGGGAGAGGGAATGGGGTGGGGTGTGGGTGTGTTGACCTTTTATTTTAATGAAACATAAAAAAATTATAACAATGTTTATAAAATGTTAAAAAAGGGTAAATACTATTTTCAATTTTGACGATGACCAAATCAATAACTAAAAAAGACCATATCCAAAGTTTTAACAATGTTTTAACTATTTCCAACAAAATAACAACCCGCTGAGATCATTTTTGCAATTTTATCATTACTATATTATTTTTAGTACACCACTCTCTGACACTCACCCTCTTCTCACCTCAACCATTTTCACGATCTAAACATCGATGATCTTCTTTTCTCCTTTCGGTGATTGTTGCATGTTGCCATAAGCATGTGTAGCATTGGTCCAACTAAGGAGCTCTTTGAGCAACCAGATCCGCTTCCACAAAACAAGGCTACAATCGAGGAACTTAGATTATCAATTCAAGACCATGCCGATAAATTTGGGAAGTTTAACTCGGAATCCATCGTCAAAGGTAGGGATGAGCATATGGACCGGGGAACCGGCCGGAACCGGTACCGGCACCGGAACCGGAACCCGATGGAACCGGTCGGGCCGGGACTGGGACGTTATTTTTGTGGATTTTTGGAACCGGGAACGGTAGGAACTGGAACCGATATAACCGGAACCGGTAGAACCGGCAAAAACCAGAACCGTATGATGCTATTTTTCGAGGACCGGTTCCAACATTTGAAGACACGACAAGAACCGGTAACCGGTAGAACCGTCGGGCCGGTTCGGTTCTTGATTTTGGCCGAAGCCGATTCCCGGGTCGGGTCCGGTTCCGGCCGGTTCGGTCCTTTTGCTCATCCCTAGTCAAAGGAAATTGGCAATGTAAACATGGAGGGGGTTGTGATATTCTCATTTTATATGGATTTAGGTTCTTCATGTTAATTTTCTTTTATCATTCTTGTGTGTAGCCAAACCTTGGTGCTTTAAAGGCCATTAAAGGCAAAAAGACATAAAAATTAAAGGCAAAAAGACATAAAAGGGGAAAAAAATAAGTTTATTTATGTTAATATATATATATATATATATATATATAATATATATATATATATATATATATATATATATTTTACGAGGGCATCCACAATGTATTGAACTCTATGAAGTTTAATGAATTGCCACATTATCTTTCTACAATTCATACAAATCTATGATTTTTTTTCTATAATGCATTGAACTCTACAAAGTTTAATACAATATTACAAAATGTAATTTATGGTATACATTTAAGAATTAAAAACTTTCAATTTGTCCATTTTTGAGTTCAATGACCATTGAACTCAAAATCCATTGAATGTCAATGTGACATCTCACAATGGTAGAGTTTCATCCATTGAATGACACTAGACTTATCAACTCATTCAACACTCTCATTAAACTACCATTATGGATGCTCTGGGTATGATATGTAGGAGAAAGAACATTAAAAACACACGTCGATTGTGACGAAGGAGGGTATTTGGTGTGTAATTTCACTTCAAATGCGGATAATACATTTGCACGTGATGATTGAAACCTTCTTCGAACACCAACTAAGTGCACATGAATTGTAAACAAGTTGTGTTGTTACCATCATTGATTAGCGGGGATTTGGAGATATGGTTGAGAATGTAGAACGGTAGAAGCCGAGGAGAAGGTGGTGAGGGTGATTCAATACGACGGGAAGAGAGATGAGAATTGTCGATCGAAGTAATATAATAATTATTTAATATTAAATTATATAATGTATCCATAAGATAAGATAAGGCTAATATAGTCAACTTATTTGGAGTACAACGTTACAAAAACATAAATAAGGATCAAAAACTATAAGAAAAAAATTTATACCAAAAATACAAAAATCAATTAAAATGATGGACCGAAACTGTAATTTACTCGTTATCGTTAAGATTGCGTAGATTTTTATTATATGAACTAGCCAACGAACGGATAATCGTCTAGCTTCATCTCTACACCTGACACGCCACTCCCCTTCAGTTGTTCGTCTTCAATTGCAAGCTCCCCTGTCATCCATTTTGTGCTGCATCTTCGGAGTTCCTTGTAGCAGTGTAGAGCGATTCATCAGCTGCTTTCATCTCTGTAGTGATTCAGGATGCTTGAAATCATGCCAATAAACGGTCTTTCTATGGAACCCGCAAAGCTACCTTCATTTCCATATGCTACTAAGAATGGTGGTCCCAAGAACAAGTCTCGTAGGTCTCTACGGTGCAGTGCAGTGATCATTAATTTGCCTACCGATTATCTCCCAAAGGGCAACAATACGCTGATCAATAGGCAAGTCAATTAGAATTTTGATGATATACAGTTTGTGTTCAATTTATCTTCAGATCAAATGATCTCGTCTGTATATTCAACACGTTTGCTGTTGGTTTGGTTTACCTATGTAGGTTTGTGATGTCCAACCCCAAACCAAATGCCCTGGATTCGTCGAAAAAAGGTCTTCATCTGCTTAAGGCGCTTCAAACCCTCTCTATTTGATATGAAACATTGTTTTTGGGTGACAATTCTAGTGTTTATTAGCATGTTTTAGCTCTCTGGTGAATGTTGTTTTTTTGTTAACTCAGTCCAGCTCCATGAAGGCCTAGAGTCATGCTCAACCATGGAGGAGCTGAAGCAATACCACTCCCAGATCATCAAAATTGGCCTTTCGTATGATAACGATGCCATCGGTAGGATCATCAAGTTCTGTGCTATCTCAAAAAACGGCGATTTGGGTTATGCACTCAAGGTGTTTGACAAATTGCCACAGCCAGACACATTCATTTACAACACCATTTTTAGGGGTTACCTCCAATTCCAACATCCCAAAGAATGCATATCTTTGTACTCCCAAATGTTACAAAGTTCTGTTACACCCAATAAGTTCAGTTTCCCTCCTGTCACAAGAGCTTGCTCTTTACACAACGCCATTGAAGAAGGCAAGCAAGTTCATGCCCAGATTTTGAAATTCGGATACTCTTCAGATGGGTTCTCTCAGAACAATTTGATTCATATGTATGTTACCTTCAAGCACTTGCAGGAAGCAAGGAAGGTGTTCGACAAAATGCCTCACCCAGATCCCATCTCTTGGACAACACTAATTACTGGCTATTCCCAACTGGGATACATCAATGAGGCTCGCAAAGTGTTCGATAAAATGCCAGAAAGAAACCCTGTTTCCTGGAACGCCATGATTTCTGCATACATCCAAAGCAACCGTTTCCACGAAGCCCTTCAATTGTTCAACAAAATGCAATCAAACCACATCAAATTAGACAAATTTATAGCAGCAAGCATGTTATCAGCATGTACAAAACTCGGAGCATTAAAACAAGGGGAATGGATTCACGATTACATCAAGAGAAACGGAATCCAAATCGACCCAAAACTCGCCTCCACCATCATCGATATGTACTGCAAATGCGGTTCACTCGAAAAGGCACTCGAAACATTCAACGAGTTAACCAAATCCAAATCCAATTCCAATTCCGATTCCAATTCCGATTCCGTTTCCGTTTCCATCTCTTCTTGGAATTCCATGATCGGGGGATTCGCGATGCATGGAAAAGGTGATTCCGCCATTGACCTCTTCAAGAAAATGGAAACGGAATCGGTATCTCCGGACTACATTACATTCGTGAACTTATTAAGCGCGTGTGCTCATTCGGGATTAATCGAACAAGGTCGTTATTATTTCAAACACATGGTGGAATCTCACGGGATTACACCCGGAATGGAGCATTACGGATGCATGGTGGACATGCTTGGAAGGGCCGGAATGTTCGATTCCGCCATTGACCTTATAAACGAGATGCCAATGAATCCAGATGTGGGTGTTATGGGTGCACTTCTTGGAGCTTGTAAAATCCATAACAATGTCGAATTAGGAGAAAAAATCGGGGAAAAAGTCATAGAATTGGAGCCTCATAATAGCGGAAGGTATGTATTATTAGCTAACATATACGCCAACTCATCAAAATGGGAATCCGTTGCTAAAATTAGGAAGCTCATGAACGATAGAGGCGTTAAAAAAGAACCGGGTTTTTCACAAATCGAAATCGAGGGTAGTATTAATGAGTTTATTGCAGGGGGGAGAGTTCATCGGGATTCGAAACAGATATATGAAAAAGTCAATGAAATGTTGAGTTCGATTAAATCTATGGGATATGAACCGGAAAGTGAGAATGTGTTGCATGATATTAGTGAAGAAGAGGATGTGGAAAACCCGGTTTTTTATCATAGTGAGAAACTAGCGATTGCTTATGGTTTGTTGAAAAGTAAACCGGGGGAGGTTTTAAGGATTACTAAGAATTTGAGGGTGTGTAAGGATTGTCATGAGGTGAGTAAATTGGTTTCCAAGTGTTTTGAGAGGGAAATAATTGTGAGGGATAGAAGTCGATTTCATCATTTTAAAGATGGCGTATGTTCGTGTAATGATTATTGGTGATTTTGATCTCTTAGGGTAGCAACTAAAGTAAAGAGTTTACTTCAACAACCATATTTTGTTTTGTTTAATCTTATGTGTTTGATTTTTATAAACCATTGTTCTAATTTACACACTATATACATTCCTTTTTCACATATAATCCATAAATGTGTGTTGATAAGTGCTATGGAATACAAAAATGCAACCCGTCTTTGATCTTGTGGCAACATGGTTTTACAAAAAACAACTTAATGTAAGTTATATGAATGTAGCGGAAATAACAGATTAAAATTTTATTCCTTAAGCTATTGATTAAAACTGTCGGTATTCGTTACTTGATATTGTAGGGTTCCTTTGATATATGAGGCAGTGACAAAATCAGTTTGCGTCTATTGATTTCTATTGACAAAACCTGTTTTCCAAGTGTTAAAACTGGTTAATCTGTAAAATTTGACAATAGTGGGAAGAGTTTGAAGACTTTCCGCTCATCTCCCGCCTTCCTAGCAACCATTTCAGGGAACATCTATTTGAGAATTTTCTGATAATTAGAATTGGATTTCAGGTTTGTTATAAAAAAAGGTCAAGTCCAAATTAACTTGAATAAGATCAATTACATATTACATTCACATGGGCTTTAAGATTAGAACTGACAATGGGTCGATCTGAGTTGGATCCAGGTTCAACTCATTTATTAATTGGGTTGAAGTTTTCAACCCAACTCAACATATTTATTTAAATGGGTTGATATACACAATTCAACCAAACATTTTAGATAAATAGGTTATTGTTAGCGTATATATTTTGATTTATAGTTTTTGTATTTAGATTATTAGCTCATACGTGGCCCTTGGCCCATTGAGGTATATTTGTATAAATATGTTTATTGAAGTAGAGGAATGCATGAGGTTTTATCACAATTACATGGTATTAGAGAACCCTAGCCATTGAATCGACACTTCTTTTCTTTCTATTCTCGATTTTGTTTCCCTCCCTCTACTTCATCAATCATGACTAGCAAGGATTCATCCTCTTTTGCGTCTCTTCTTGACAAACCTTCTTCCTCCATTAACATCAAACATGCAATTCCCTTAGTTCTTGATCTTGAAAGAATGAATTATGACATATGGCATGAGCTATTTGAAACCCATTGCAAGGGATACGGTCTCTCCAAACATCTTCTTCCCACCGTTGACAAGTCTCTTGAAGCCATTGAAAATAGGAACGTTTGGACTCCATTGTAAAATCTTGGATCTACAACACGTTGTTTCAGCCTTTCTCCACATGAATCTGAAGAAAAACTCCTCTGCATATGGACTTTGGAACTGTCTGGAACTACTTTTCAAAGAAAATAAGCATACTACCTCCATCCAACTTGACAGTAAGATCTGAAACATCACTCAAGGTGACTCTTCTATCAATGATTATTGTTCTCGTATCAAGACTCTTGCTAATTTGCTTGAAAATCTTGAAAACCCGGTCTCTGAGATCAATCTTGTGACTGATGCTCTCAATGGGTTGTCTGCCAAGTATATTACATTGCTACTACCATACGCCATCGTGATCCTCTACCATCCTTCACGCAAATGCGGTCCATGTTATTGATTGAAGAACGCCAAATATTACAAGATCAGTAGCTACAAACTACGACTGCTCCCACTTATTCTGATCACGACTCTTCTCCCACCATTTTCGCCAATGATAGCACCTCCAACACAACCAATTAGCACAACTATTACCGTGGAGGCCGCTCTAGTGGTTGGAATGGTCGTGGCGGTCGAGCGGGTCGTAATGGCCGCATGTTCAGTGGGGGGGTTCACGTCAACAACAATATCCGGTGGATGCGCGCACCTCTTGGTTGGGGGTACAAATGGTATCCTCTGTCAAATATTGCCTAGGTGTAACACTCGAGAATTTGGTATGTTTCCTTTATCCCCTTAATACAAAAATCATATCATGTTAGTCCCTAGCTAGTACGTGGGGCGTACTCTATAAGTACACTTAGCATACTAGCTCATTTCCAGATCGCGGGATTCACCCACGTACGCGGGGCGTACATGGAGTGCGCATGGCATACATAGTGTTGGGGCAAACCCTAAGTTTTTAGGGTTTGCACCCTATTTAAGCAACTTATACCACCTTTGGACATTCTATTGATCATCCTCCATCACCCTATGTCCTAATATCGAAACCCTAAGTGTATTTGGTGAGATTTGAGCTTGAAAGTAAGTTTGTTGGTGTTTTGTGGTGAAGATGAAGAAGAGGAACACTTGGAGGTTTCTTGGGACTAGCTTGAGCTTGTAGATCCAGTGTTATCTTCACCTTAACAAGCCTTTTGAGGTAAAAATCTCTCATCTTGATGGTCCTTTATGCTAGATCCATTTTATGATGTTAATTATGCATTTTTGGTTTTTTTTAAGTCATGTATGAAGCTATGGTCTACTCCAGAAGCTATAGATGTTAGATCTTTGTTTATTTGAGGTCCCTTGTCGATAAAAATGCAACCTTTATGGGTTATTTTGGACCATGCAAGTGTTAAGAGTCTTATTAAGCTTTTTTTTGAGTTTTGGACCTTATTAAGTCATGCATGGGTGTAAAGTTTCCAACTTTACGTATTAAGTCGCCATTTAGAACCATATATGAGAGTTTAGCATGTTGGCTTAACCAATTAAGTGCTTAATGGGTTGGGTTGGTAATCTGGGGAGTATGTTGGGCGTACCCTGGTACGTTGCGTGTACTGACCCCGGAAGGAGTACGCTAAGCGTACGCGCTGAGTATGCCCCGCGTACTCAGCAGACTGACCTTCGGATTGACTTCTTCGATTTGGGCTTTTAGGATTTGGGCCTTGTTGGGCCATTGGACTTATGACTTTGGTCCATGGATAGACTATGGACTTTCTTGGGATTAGGACTATGATGATTTTTTTGGGCCCAATTTGGAAGTTGGGCCTTATTGGGCCTTGTGATGCCATTTAGGAATTTGGGCCTTTTGAGCAACTGGGTTGGGGTTTGGTTTTGGGCCAAGTAAGAAAAAGGGTAAATTGATCTTTTACCCTAGATATTGGACAAGTAGCTTAGATTCTTGATTATGGGTCGTGATCCAATTATTAATTGGATATTATTTGATGATGTTAGCACAGGGAATTTTCGGACCAGCCGATCGAGATTTATTTGAAAGATTTAACAGCTAGATGTGAGTTTCCTCACTGTGTTTAACGCGTCGAAGGCACCAATGCTGATATGTTTCATATGTATGGTATGAGGTATTTTGGGGAACTCACTAAGCTTTGTGCTTACAGTTTTTAGTTTATGTTTCAGGTACTTCTGGTTTGAAGGGGAAGAGCTCGGGATGATTGCAGTGCACACACCACATCGTTCCGCATTTTTTTAGTACTCTGATGTACTTGGATATTATTGATACACTTTGATTCACTATGGTTTCTATGATGTTGTTAGGATGATGGTTTTAATTAATTTAAAAATCGAAATTTTTAGCCTTAATTTTTGGGATGTTACAAGTTGGTATCAGAGCCATAGTTTGAGGGATTCGAGAATACTCTCGGGTGTGTCTAAACTCAAACTGAGGGTTCAGTAGAATTTTTCAAATTTTTTTTTATAAAATGGGTTTTCTAATAAAATAAAAAGGGTGTGATGCATGCAATCGACCGTAAGTTTTCCCAAAATACTCATACAAGTTTTATGATATGCTTTGATTTATGAATCTGTGAATTGCATGCTAGTTAGGGCTGAGGATCTGCTCAGGGTTTGCATGATAGAATGCTTGGAGAGATGCCGTTATTGTTTGGATTAGTGTCTAAGCCCATAACTATAATTGGTATGTACTTGACCCGATTTGGCATGGGCCATTTGGGTTGCATGGCATCGGAACAATTTGGATAGACTTTTGTGAGAAAAGGATATTTATGATTTGTTAATATATTATAAGTTCTAATATATTAATATGAAATCATATTATTTAATTAGTATTGATCAAGAATTAATTTGGAATTAATTTTGTGATAAAAAGGAGACTAATTAAATATATGGGGATTGATTGTGTAAATCATTCATTCTTATATATGTGGGCTTATGGTCCATAGTTCTTCATGTTGGGCTAAACCCATGGATACTCCATTGAGGTTTTAACCCATGGAGCATGAAGAATATGGAAAGACATGGGTTACATGGTGTAACCCTAATAGCCACAATATATAAGGACCCCATGGCTCAAGAAATTGGCACTAGTGTGTGTACACATGAGGGCTAGCCGATTTGAGCATAAGAACTTTTTCTCCCAAGTTATTCCAAGATGTTGGTGATGTTGTGTGAACCATTTGAGGTGTCACACTTGAGGCACTAGGCTCTTAAGCTCCATGGAATCAAGCTACAACAAAAGGTATGTCATTCTACTAGATTCTTGTAGTATAGTTGCTTCATATTATGCTAGTTAGGATGAAACCTTGGAACATCAAATATTTTCATGTATAATAGAGAAAACATAGATCCAAGGTTTATAGGGTTGCATGTACACCATAGGAGTGTTAGAATGTTCAAAACCCATCATTGGTATTAGAGCCTAGGCTTGTTTTCAATTATACTTGATGCTATTTGCAAGAAAAATCGTTTTTTTTTTTGGAATCTGCCAGTTCACTGCAAGGTGGTAAAATTTACCACGAGGTGGTGCCTGTTCAGTGGAAAAAAATTAGTTTTTTGGCATGTTTTGGATTAGAATCATTACCACAAAGTGTTTTTGTTCATAAAACTTGATTTTGATGTTATGGTAATGTTTATTCTCATCCAAATAAATGATAATTGTCAATAAATTCATGTTTTGTATTAGTTTAATGGTTAGACTAATTTCATGAAAAGTGTTTGATTTGAATTATCTTGTTCTTATGAGTTGATTTAGATTAATAGAAAACTTATGTGATAATATGTTTTCAATCCAAATTAATCTAAAAGTTGTTCATAATATGTGTTTTTGTAATTTGTCCTCAATTTATATGAAAAGTCACATTTATGATT